CGCGTTTGTCAGGAGTAATAAGCAGTATATTTAATAAAAATGATTATTTCAGTGTATGATTGTTAAATTAAAGTTAATACATAAGTTAAGATCTTTAGTTATTGAATAACTAAAAATATATTTTTTTTTCGCGGCGCTGCATTGGGGCAGCGTAACCGCGTAGCTTTATTGAGTAATTAGAACTGAAGTTTGCTTAACCAAAATTACAATATTTATGCTTAATGCTAACTTGAATTATTCTAAGTGGTGTGATTCGCTTCCACGAATCTTACGCTGCACAACAGGTAGCGGAGCCGCTGACCATGCACTTTGTGGTGCATTTCGGTCACACGTGCCGGAAGTTGTAACTTAAAGCTTGAGTAACAAGTGTTGTGTTAACTCATATTTCATTTTATTATAAATTGATTTAAAAGAAACGGAAAAATATTAGATTATATCGTGGTGTAACCGACAGTTTTTCCCCGAATTCAAAAGTGAAGCGCTTATAATGAACAACAAATGTATTTTAATGATAATTTAAAAAATATATAAAAAAAACTGGCCGCTGCTGCTGTTACATGTCCGCCTCGGAGTGTGGTCGATGCTCAACTAACTCTCACTCATTCGGTGACAGCTCGGCCTCTCCTGACATCTCGTCATCCCAAGACGAGTTGTCGCTGTCTAGTTCGGGACTGGACGAATACCAAGGCTTGAGGTGGTCCACCGACATGACGTTGCAATACCTGCGCTGTGTCACTGTGGCATCTGGTAAGTCTTCGATGATGTATCGGTCGTAGTCCAGCAACTTCGTTACCATGTATGGACTCTTGTACACCGGATCTAATTTATGTGACTCTCCTGTTGCACTTGGGACGTAATCGACTACAACGAGGTCCCCGACTTGGTATTTTCGAGGCTTCCGGTGACGTTGATCATACCTCTCCTTCCATTTGCTCCGCTGATTCATGATATTCTGTGCTGCCTCGCCCCTTTTTATCTCGATGTCTGACATATCGGTGACCTCGTCGT